ATAGGACCTTCTACTTTGCATTCCCCGAAATGAAACAAAGAAGCGAAATAAATTAAATATTGTAGGGCATTCTACTTTGAATTACCGGCAATGCCTAAAAGAAGCGAACAAATTCGAAGGCATTATAACGCTATGCCTTCTAAACACGATTACCGATTGTTTGCTGGGCTATGTTAAACTAAAAGTGAAAATAAACAATACTTTGTCGGAGAGTGGTTAATTTTTTAATATGTATACATATCCTAATTTTGAAGAGCTCCAAAAATTATTATCAACAATTTATATTGAGCTCGAGGCCGTTTTAAATGAAAATTTTTATTGTGGCAAAGCAACAATAATTTGAAAAAATGGTAGAAGTGATAGCTATTTCGGAAATCACCACATTTCCTCATCAGACCTCTTTCAGTAGGGTTCGAACCGACGATCCCACTGACTCAGCCAGTTGCCTATGCACCGTGCTAAGTACGCCTTGTAAATTATCGTTTGCTTTTTTCCACTATTTTCATTTTTGTTATGCCAACACAATCAAGCGCAGCTATTCCGCTGCAATTCACTTGATCATGTGGTTGTTGGTGTTGTTGAGTGAGTTGCAGCTAGGCCAAAAAAATAACAAAAACAAATAACTTAAGGACGAGTTAAACATTATAAAAATAGAATTATTAGCATAAAACCAACAAAAAAAGCAAACGATAATTTACAAGGCGTACTTAGCACGTTGCATAGGCAACTGGCTGAGTCAGTGGGATCGTCGGTTCGAATCCTACTGAAAGAAGTCTGATGAGGAAATGTGGTGATTTCCGAAATAGCTATCACTTCTACCATTTTTTCAAATTAGTGTAGCTTTTCCACAATAAAAATTTTCATTTAAAACGGCCCCGAGCTCAATATAAATTGTTGAATATAATTGTTATAAAGGCCAAAAAAATAACAAAAACAAATAACTTAAGGACGAGCACACCTAAAAGTTAAACATTCTAAAAATAGAATTATTAGCATAAAACCAACAATACCAACAACCACATGATCAAGTGAATTGCAGCGGAATATCTGCGCCTGATTGTGTTGGCATAACAAAAATGAAAATAGTGGAAAAAAGTAGAGGTGTCAAACTATCGATAGTCACACCATCGATAGTTTTGATAGTTTTCTGAAAAACTATCAATATTCACGATAGTCTCAAAAAAAACAAAACTATCGATAGCACTATCGATAGCGCTATCGATAGCTCTAAATCAGTTAGGTTGCTTTGTTTTTACAGGATCATAGTGAAATAAATATTATCTTATAAAAGTTATAATCATTCAAAATTAAGTAACTGCTTAGCCAAAATACTTCTCTTTTTAGAAAGTTTAAAAACAAACACAAGTTATACAAACAAAACAGGATTTACGATTAACATATGTATGTATAATTTCAAAAGAATTGGGAGAGATAATCGATAGTCCTACTGAACTATCGATATTTTCGATAGTATATGAAAAAACTATCAATGAGTATTGATAGTCTAAAAAAATTTAAACTATCGATACTATCGATAGTGCTATCGATAGTTTGACAACTCTAGCACTCCTTGACAAAAAGCAAACGACAATTTACAAGGCGTACTGAGCACGGTGCATAGGCAACTGGCTGAGTCAGTGGGATCGTCGGTTCGAATCCTACTGAAAGAAGTCTGTTGAGGAAATGTGGTGATTTCCGAAATAGCTATCACTTCTACCATTTTTACAAATTATTGTTGCTTTTCCACAATAAAAATTTTCATTTAAAACGGCCTCGAGCTCAATATAAATTGTTGAATATAATTATTATAAAGGCCAAAAAAAAAATAACAAAAACAAATAACTTAAGGACGAGATCAAAAAATCTAAAAATTACTTGTTGCAAAACTATAACTCCAAAAAAAAAAAAATAAATCCAAATAAATTTGTTTTTGTATTAGTAAAAGCTATTAAATTTGCTGATTTATTTTGGAACTATNTAAAACGGCCTCGAGCTCAATATAAATTGTTGAATATAATTATTATAAAGGCCAAAAAAAAAAAAACAAAAACAAATAACTTAAGGACGAGATCAAAAAATCTAAAAATTACTTGTTGCAAAACTATAACTCCAAAAAAAAAAAAATAAATCCAAATAAATTTGTTTTTGTATTAGTAAAAGCTATTAAATTTGCTGATTTATTTTGGAACTATTTTCCGTCATCCCTTGTCAGGTTTGGTTTGCAGACAAACCGGTTTCGGCGTTGTGCCATCTTCAGTGTCATTTTTCGTATTAAATTTGCTATTATCTCCGCCAACAAGATTATCCAACTGGAAAAACAATTTAGGAGCTATACATTTATTTGTCGATAAAAAAATGGCCATGGAGGAAATGGTTTTTCGTAGAAATGGTGTATAATTCTTTAAAATCAATATTTTTCGATTGGATCTCTGTTTTGCTTCAGGAGGAATTCGATATTTATTAAAAGATTTCGAACTTTTTTGGCCTTATCGAATTTTCGGAGCTTTTTTTGGCCTTGGCAAATTTTCCTTTCATTGAATATAAACGAGAAAACATAAAACAAGGACCTTTACCCTTTTCGAAACGATGCAATTTTAATTTATCTAGCCTCCTATATCAAAATATGATTTTTCATTAAAAGTGAAGTTAGCAACTTTTCGCTCTAAGCTAGCGATATATGAGTTTTACAATCAGTTTACCGTAAATTTTAAATAGTTTTATTTAATGGTATGTTTAAATGCTTTCAGATATTGAATTTTTACTCATATTCATAAAATTTTCAATTTGAATCCCGGTTTATCGTAAATTTAAAACAGTTTTATTTAATGGTTTGTTTAAATGCTTTCAGATATTGAATTTTTACTCATATTCATATAATTTATGACTCAATTTGAATCCCGGTTTATCGTAAATTTTAAATAGTTTTATTTAGTGGTATGTTTAAATGTTTTCAGATATTGAATTTTTACTCATATTCATAAAATTTATGACTCAATTTGAGTCCCGGGATAAATCCCGGGATCCCAGGATTACCTAAAAAATATCCCGAAATCCCGGGATCCCAATTTTCCTGATATTTTGGCATCCCTAGTACATAAATAATATGCAATATAAAATGGAAATTGAAGAAGATGTGCATAGATATTAATGACTCGCCAATCTATTAATCACACATTCAACATTCAGCCAAAAATGGACGCTTCTCTGGACGAGATCCGTTTTCGATGACAAGAGTACTGGCTTTAGCTCAGCTTTTCTTGTATAAAATGTAGGTAAAATTTAAGGTTTCAGTGTAAATGTACATCCTCAACATAATTTAGTATACAGGTATTGTAAATGCTTTCGTTTTGTCATTTTTAAAATGAAGAAATAGGAACTTCTTTATAGGCGGCATACACAATGCGTCTGACTCGCGAGTCATTTGTGTACGTGTTGACTCGCCTTCGACTACACACAGTTGAATCATTCAGAGTCATGGTAGGAGCCATGTCAGTGTAACTAACACATATTTATTTTTACAAACACATCCAAACTGACTCGCGAGGTAGACGCACCGTGTATGCCGCCTATTAGAAATAAAATAAATGTGCCTGTTCATTTTCACCAAAATTCATAATTTTATGACTTGGAGCAAAAATAGTTGTGTAGAAGGTGGGCGCCGTAATAAGAAATTCTTTACTATCTGCCAAGTTGGAAAATTCTGGCTTAAACGAGCAGGGCACACCGAATTTCATCAATAATTTGCGCCTGTTTTTCTAGAATTACTGGACGATAATGTAAACCGATTTTGACAATCTTTCGGATTTATGCTTTTCTCGTTAAAAACAGCATATCCTCTGAACTTGATTCAAATCGGATAAAATTTACTATTTCCGCCCACAATAGCTGTGGGCGTGGTAGCGCGTTGAATTTTACCATTTTCCACATTTCTTCCTTCCTAAGTACCGAACGTATATACGAAATTTCAGCGAATTTCTAGTACGGTTACAACTTTTAGCCGCAGCATATACGGGGACGTCCCACTGTGCCGCGCGACCTATGGGTAGTGATATATTAACTATTTAGAGAATAATTTAAAATTTTATAATGTAGCTTATCTAAAAGGCAAAATTTAACTTCAACAGCTAATAAGAATCGGAGTTTGGGTGGTGGTTGAACAATTTTCAAGACAGTACTTAAGGAGGCTAAGCGCAATGTGCGCAAAATTTGGGCGAGATCGTCGAAGTAGTTTTTGAGATACACACATATATGATATAAGTAGGCGGTGGCACGCCCATTTTCGTAAAATTTGTAACATAAATTTTTTGCTTAATAGCCATTGTATATATCAATTTTAAGTAAATACTGATAAATTCCTTAGTCACACTGCCCAAAAGATTTGTAAATTCAAGACCGTAATTTTGCTTAAATTGCTTAACCTCGACAATTTTTAAGCAATTGCATTAAGTGAGGTATTAATTTATCCGAAAATAAATATACCTTTAGTTAATACTACATATTTGGCAATTTTCATGGAAATTTTTGAAATTAGTGATGGTCAAAGTGGAAAAATTTTAGAAATTTAGGGTTTTTTTTTTTTAATTTTCCCCAAAAAAAAATACCAACGAGCTAAATCTGACAATATATTGTTATATATCATTTTAAAGGCCTATACATCTTATTTTCAAAACATGTTTGATTTTTAAAATTGGATGAAACATAGTCAAACTCTTAACAGCTAAGTGCACAAAGTACGAAAATACTTAATAAAATAAAAATGGAGGGTTCAGAAACTATGAGCAACGTATTTTCATGCTGTACCCGATCCTAGCTACAGCCTACACTAATGCTGGTATTCAGAAATTCAATCTCATCTAAGGTCACTAAATTTGAGACTAGCAAATAGTGACCGTTTTCGTGACTTGAGTTGGTTTGGGTATTTAGTAAGAGAGAGTCACCAAAAACATCTTTACGTAATAGTATTTCATTAAGTGATTTAGGTACTAATAACTATTCCTTACCTTCTAAGAACCCGAATTTCATTTTCCAGCGATTCCTCTTTTCCTTTTAACGCTTTTTTATCGATGATTTTAACAGCAAAATGCTCACCGGGGTTTTCCTTGCTTTCGGCCAGCCGTACCTCGGAAAATGCGCCACTGAAAGTAAGAACATTTTAAAACAAAGCTGAATATAAAAGTTCTTCGTTAATTGCATTTATTACTAAGTACATGTACCCTTTACTAGCATTAAAATCAAAATTTAAGGAAATTATGTTCTTTGTGAATAATTCCTAACTATATTCAGTATAAGCACTGGAATAGACGATCATGTTTCACGTTCTTACAACCGGAACCACCCAGACTTATGTATATCTGGCCAAAGGTTGTCACTTCAACATTCCCCAAAACTGTTTGGGGAATTTTACGCTATTTACAACAACAACAACAAACTTGTTTCGCAATGAGTCATTATATTAATGTGTGTTGACATTTTATATGAGGCAATATTTTTCATATCGGACACCAAATTTGGTGCCAGACTTTCGATTGGCCTACAATATACATATAATAATAATTCTATACATGAAATAAACTAACAGATATACGCGGAATTTTTTTCTTCGGAGATATGACCTGTCAATGTTTTGATTTTTTTTATTCTGACCAAATGCACGGTGCTACAAAAAAAGGCATGAAATATACCCGAAACAAACCCAAGTGTAGGTTGTAGGTATGGTCGAGTACCAATTGAAAATAGGTTTTGTATAGTTCCTGAACCTGATTTTTTGCTTAAGAGTCAGTGTATATATAAATTTTTAGTAAATCGACAGCTGAGTGAAAGATCGAGCCATCTCGGCAGCCTGTTCGAAAACGCCCTATCTCGAAAACCCTATTTCAGAATTTGGATGAAGAACGCCCTATTTCAGAATTCGTTTTGAAAACGCCCTATCTCAGCTGCCGAATCAAAAACGCCCTACATCAGCACATTTTCAATACATTTTGAAGTGACTGAATTCTGAGATAGGACGTTCTTCAACCAAAATTCTCAAATAGGACGTTCTTGCAAATTTGTTTGAGATAGGGCGTTTTCGAACTGGCTGCCGAGATAGGTCGATCTTCCACTCAGCGGTCGAAATATTGATGAGTTTCTTAGCCACATTTCTCAAAAAATCTGAACGTACGGTACAACACACATACAAATTCAAGACCGTATTTTTGCTTAACTTCAACAATTTTTATGCAATTGCATTAGGCAAGGTACCAATTTATTCGAAAAAAAAATATTTTAGGTAAATACTATATGTTTAGCAACTTTCATAGAAACTTTTGAAATCAGCGATGGTCAAAGATGAAAAAATAAAGAAAAATAGGGGCTTATTAAATTGTAGCCAATAGAAACATCCAATAAGCTAAATCTAACGATATATTGTTATACATCATTTTAAAGGTCTATGTTCGGGTTTTGAAATCGGATGAAAAATAGTCAAGCTGTTAGCATCAAGTACGAAAGTAACGGGTTTTTGGTATAAAAAGGGAGGGTTCAGGAACTATACGGGACCTATTTTCATGTTGTACTCGACCATACCTACAACCTACACTAGGTTTTGTTTCGGGTGTATTTCATGACTTTTTTTTTGTAGTACCGCGTTATTATTCAAATAAAAAATAAATTTTATTCGCAATTTATATGTTATATTTGAATGCCGAATAAATTTTCATTGATCATAGAGAAATTTAAAACAAGTAATTTTTAGCAAAAAAAAAACGAGTTAAAAAATATATATATATATATTTCATGATCCAATGATCCGATCTAAACCATATTAGTATGGGATCACCTCTGAGACACTACCTTTCCGATTCAAAAAGAATTATCGAAATCGGTTGACGGGGTTAAAAGCTATGCCGTAACATATATAAAAAAAAAAAAAATATTCCGACGAATTGATAACCTCCTCCTTTTTCTGAAGTCGGTTAATAACGAATAAATTTTTATTCATCATTCAAGTAATTTCGAAAAAGATTAAATTTGTATTCTTCCTTAAAATTATTTCAAATAACGAATAAATTTTTATTAACTATTGAAGTAATTTCATACGATTTCATTCAAATAATTCCGAACAACGAATAATATTTAGTTTATTATTTAGACATTCTTTCTTTATATTGTACCAGTCATGGGCGCACCCAGGAATATATTTTAGGGGGTGTTTTATATTTCTGTAGATATATCACCGGAAAATACTGAAAATTTGCTTCAGATAATACCCTCTTTAAAATACATTTATGCAAGTTTTATGTACAGTATGTAATAAATAAATAAACGTTTTAAAATTCATAAACTGCACTTTATATAGGGATTAACAGAACTCAAACGCTTTTAACCGACTTCAAAAAAAAGGGAGGTTATCATCTCGCCGGAATACATAACTTTGGACCACGTGAACCGTTTTCAATAATCCTTTTTTTATTAGAAAGATAGTACCTCAAGGTTCGTCCCGTAATTTGTTTTAGAGATCCGATGATTGGATCATGAAGAAATTAACGGTACCCCTAAATTTGAATATGAGAATTGAAGTCGGTTGTGTTCTTTCCTTAAAAACTACTTGCTTAATAAAAAGTTCTATAAACTCAAGATGCGCTCAACTTTCAAAAGTACCTAATAAAAAATTAAAAAAAACAGTCAGTAAAAATAAATTTATTGATTCCATACATTTTTGCACTTCTATGTTCATTTTTTCGATTTCTGATTTTCGATAGATGGTGATTTTTCACGATTGCTAAATTTTTTTAATATATCAAATACCGAAAAAATTAACTGAACTCTCAAGAAAAACGAAAAATTCATATAAAACGACGGACGAGAAATGGAAAAGAAATTTTCTTCTACCGAAATTTCTTAAATCAGTTTGCAGCTCTCAAGAAAAAAAATGCTCGTATATTTATTCCCTCATGAAAATTTACAGCAAAAGCGTTTTCAAGCAACAGAAATTATAATAAATATTTCTTATAATTTCCTTGAGAGCTGGATTCTTAGCTTTAAGATACAGATTTTATTTGAGGTGATTAGCTTTAGGGGGGGTTTGAACCCCAAAAGCCACCCCATGTGTGCGCTAATGGTACCAGTTAGGCATCAAGGTTCGTATCGTATATCGGCAAATCTAAAAAAAAACAGGTAGCCTTTGTATTATTTAGCTTCATTTTCATTGTTGTAAACTATATTAAGCTGGTTGCCTTTGGATATAATTCATAGACGTATACTTGAAGCCTCAAAAAAATGTTTAATCAACTTGTTGCATAACTCTTGAGTTATAGCTGTTTTAATTAAAAAAAAAATATTAAAAACAAGTGCTTTTTTTGTAATTTTTAAGAGGTGAAAAATTAATTATTTATGTCATAACTTTTGAAGCACAGCATACACTGGTTTGAAATTTTATGTGCTATTAGTACTTATGTGTACACTTCATATGTAGTTGGTAAATAAAGTGCGCTTTACAAAATAACTAAATGGAAAGTAACGAAAAGTATGTAACTGTATTTCCACACCTTTCAAATTTTTCAATTTATATATAGTATAGTTTTTCAAGCATTTCACTTTAAAAACTTTTTAAGTATGTATTGTATTCTTCAAACAATTACGAATAATTTGATACATTAGCAAGAGGTGTGCTTTCAGAATAAACCAACTTTTAAAGATAAAATATTCTGCGATCTTGAGAGTAATTTTTATTCCAAAAACATCTTAATTGAAGGCACATTTGGAAAATACGTCGAAACGATCTAACTAATTTTATAACTACTAGTCCTTTAAACGTTATATATACCTGAAAAATGCTTCAAAAAACATTTCTCTAGAAGTGTGTAAAAACTCTGATTTATTTACTACATTTAATGAGGATCCTCCTGTAGTCAGAATATTTCGAGCGTGGTATCAAATCAAATTTTTTTTGACAAAGGTTCTGACAGTTGCTCTTACTTAATTCCTTGCCTTCTAAATTCAATGGCGTCCACAGTTTTGGCCGATTGGCTCCACTTTTCGAGGTAGCGGTACTTGAAACTTTACTTAAATTTGAACTATTTTATAACCGAGACCCAGAATAATAATTATTAATAGTTATGTCTCTCTTTTATAAAAAACTCCCTCAGTTGTGAAGATATTTTACTAAAATTTTACACAGGGTTGTATTTTATATTACATTCACTATCTCTTAAAATCAACGAAATCTGTTCACTATAAAATTTAGTTCACATACAACTGATTGTTCAGAGACGTGGTTTTGCGTTGTAACTCCTCCAACTAAGCATTTAAAAATTTAGTATAGGTTCACTTTAACATATAGCATGCATACAATTTATTATTCAGATAGGAAGTTAGAGTTATAGCACAAAAACAAATATCTGAGTAATCAGTTGTATTGGAGCTATATGTTAAAGTGAAGCTATTTTCATAAAAAAATTGCAAAATTTTAGCAAAATAACTTCAAAACTGAGGGAGAAATTAAAAAAATAGTTAAAATTTGATCAAATTATCAAGTTTTTGTTTTGAAAGTGTACCTGATTTTTTAGATTTGCTCATATACATATTTATTGCATATGAAAAATATAATATCCAAATCTACATACATACGTACGTACATATGAATATAAGCATGTACATAAGATAAGAAACAAGGACTGAATGGTAAATAATAAATTATTCGTTATTCGGAATCATGAATGAAAATTAATTCGTCATTTGAAATTATGTACTAGAATGATGAACTCAATTTTTTTTGTTATTTGAAAATTCTTGATGGTCAATGAAAATTTATTCTTCATTCGAGATTGCTTGAGTGATGAATACAAATTTATTCGTTATTTGGAATGTCTTGATGATGAGAGAAGGCATTAAGAGTGTTGGCGATGCAAAGAACTTGCACAAGCTGGTACAAGCGAACTCTCTTAATGTATATTTAAGTTGCGTCCGCCAATCCATTCGCTTTCCAAGTGATAATACCACCCTAACACTTTTAACCCATGTTTCCTATCGATAAATTTAATGTTAGAAAATTTGGCGTTTTGACAGTTTCCTTTATTTTGCTATTCGGATTTGTTTATTTTTTTATTCTATGAATTTAATGAATAATTGAATAAAACAAATATAACAATAAATTTTC